CGATCACATCTATACCTAACTTGTGATTACACATCCTGCAACATTCCTTGGGTGTCATCCAAAGTCTCTATCAGCTCCTAAATTTGAATGACCAGTTTGAACTTCACGCTTACACTAATTGATAGTCCAAGCAGTCCAAACACATTCATGATAGAGTCACTTCTCTATCACGATAACCTTCATCTGCGACTTTCCTATGTTTTTACTAGACTCTTTGCAGGTGTAGGCAAACTGCTCTACATCATTCTAGCCAATGTAATACCATCACAATCAATTGTAGATGAGATTTCTCACCTTTATGGATGTTCATGCTAACAAACATGTTATTGAAGAAACTGTAAAAAATGTGTGAGACAAGCGGGAGCAAATCCTAAAAAAATTTGACTAAATATTTGAACCTAAAATAGTGGCAATTGAATCAATACATAAGCACAAATACATTCATAGGGATATCAACACTGATAATGTTTTCTTGGACAAAGGAGTACAAAAAACTCTCATACTTTCGACTTTCTAAACCGCTTTACTGCAGCTGTCTACCGACCTGGCAAGAGAAATAAAACAATCTTACGCAATGAATGGCGATGTAACGTACAAATCTCAATCGCAACATGAACAACTTCTGGATTAGAAATGCAAAATGCGCATGCATGTATATTCCACCGTAACCACACCTTACTACATTGAGCTTGGTGTGAAACTCCAGAAGGGTTATATTATAAAGAGCAACCGGTGATCTTTTGGAGCCATAATGGACAAAATGCTTGTTGATTATACTCCTTCATATATAGATAATTCCATATGTATACTCCAAGTATGTTTGTGTGTTGGATCTTTTTGGTGGAATTGGAATTGTTTTGACTATGGTGTTACTATCAAATATTCTTGTACAGAGATACTTATATTTGGAGAAGTATGAGACTGCACGTTAAGTTTCTTTATGTCATATTCTACAGTTGATGAAGCATTAGACTTCATTGTTTCCACGATCAACTGTTTTATAACCTCCGGGCTGACTCTCATTCAGGTCTAGCTCAGATGGTTTTTGATAGTGTATCATGATTCTAGAAAACTAAGATCATTCTTCATGCTCATGTTTCAAACATACTCTCACACATTGACTCAATTTATCACTCAAATTCACACACACACATTGACAATCGAAGATCCTGAAAATCGTCACTCTCTCAAATATGGAACATGGCTCTACACATAAACTCTCTTAACTTGCTTGAGAGTCTTTCCTTTAACTCTCTACTTATACTATTTGGAAAGTTACCATAATAGCAAATAGCTTTAATGGCTAGTAATTATAGTAACTTTCTATCTAGCTTACTTTTACAAAGATAAACCATAGTAAGTTTAACTAGTTACCAATACTTGGCAACATGACATTGGTTTGCTAAATCTCCTAGATGTGTACTAATCCCTAGATTGAGTTGACTACATGCCATTTGTGACTATCCAACTTCTAGAATCTCCACTTGTCACTAAGTGAACATTAGATTTAATCAAACCAATGAATTCTCAATTACTAAGTCAAAGCAATCAAATTGAACACGAAACCAAAAGTTTTTTTCTTTGATTTTAGACTTTTGTACAAGACAAAATAGAAGTGTTCACTCAAATCTTCTAAAAGTTTTTTAATTATATTGCCAAGTATAGACATTATAGCTAAACATAAATATAAATTAATAAACTTAGTTATAACTAGCTAGATTTAATCAAAACTAGCTATATTTAGTCATAACTCAGCTAATCATGATTAGCTACTTGGCTGCTTCTAGTTCTATTTCACACATACAACATCCGATTATAAATTTACCTCCGAACCAAGAGTGCACTACGCTCTTAGAGTAAAAGAATATGATCTTTAATGAACTAGTTCTTCGTGGTTGACTTAATCAAAATGTCGTACTCTTTGTAATAATAGATAATTACCAAAATGATGAGTATAATGATAAAGATCTGATTCCACAAGGAGAGAAACAACACAAAGATCAAAGAAGTGTCACATATTAATAATGTATTTGAAGAGTTTGAATTCTCATTTGAATCACTCGTCATTTGAATTTTTTTCCCCAGCGGCTCCATCTTTTACTTCAATGGAGATCCGCCGCCGGAATTCCTTCGTAGATAACTCCAAAGACTATAGTGCCGAAGCCCAAATACCCCCTGTCAAAGTCTGTACTAGGCCTTTGAGAAAACCGGGTCTGTGATTCATCTCTTCGTAGCTCAGATGCCATTAGCCCATTCCTCCCGTTCTTGACTTCGTTAGTATTAGCAGACCAAGCTCTATCTAATGAAAATCTTCATATTTCCTACTCCTACTCAGTGGCTACGCTGAAATTCCTTATTCACTACTCTACTAAAACCTATTACTCTAAAAGTTGAAACTTACTTGTATTTACCTCCCAAAGTACATTATTTCCAAAAAAATGAAAAAACTGCACTATTCATATGACTCCACTCCATATACCATCCAAGAAGATGAATATCTGGTAGATGTATTCTATGTCGTCCGATATTCCCACAAGATAGCATGCATCTTCTTGTCTAAGTTTTGATAGCTCACATCCATGTTTGCATCTTTTGCCAACATAATACAAAGATTGTAGTTGAAATCAATATTTTGGATTTGCACACAATTTGTCCGTGAACAATTTTTATATTCTCAAAGATCATTGACTAAAAATCATCATCTAATCTCTAGACCATTGACTCAAAGATCATTAACTAATATTTTAAAAATTTAAATTTCAAACCATCACATGATAAATATAACACATCCTTTATCCAAAAGATCATAAATCATAATTCGAAGAAATTATCATAGAATGTGTCAATACAGACCATCATATTGCTTATAAAATGATTCATGAACATTATTTTTGGAAAACTTCAATACTATTCTTGACTAACTTTGACTCAATTAAGTTAAATATCTTTGTGTTGCTATCAAATATCATTGCTACTACAATTTTTATTTCTCAAGAAAAATCACTGAAAGTTAAGTATTACGATACATCGAAAATTCGATGTACCCAATTCTTCCAACCTTTGCACTCTGCATGTAGTCTAATCAAGCTACAATATTAAAGGCATATACAAGCCAAATGATACAGAATCAAAATTGAATTTGATAATATCTTGTAACTCAATCTTCTTGCTGATGCCTATTCACAGTAACGGGCTGGCATGCTTAACTGCTTCTGGTCACGATTCCTTATTGTACATTGTTGATACTTACTATTGAATATCTTGGGGATGATCAATTATGTTCACAACTTTAATTTTGGAGCCTAATGGTGTAACAACATAAATAGACAGATTTTTGATCAAAAAGTTATCTTGTATATCTTGTATAATACCTTGACGCATTAGCATGCGTCAAAGAATAAAGCAGAATATACGTCATATTTTTCATAATGTTAAACTGTGAACGGAATCAACGGATTATGCATGTCTCTTTAAAGTAGCAGTATTTTCCAAAAATTAGGTGAACAATATTCCTTTTGAGTCATTAGAACATAGAAGTGACTTCGTGTCAAAATGTATGAACATTATTACTCTCCTCAAATATAGCTTGTCTGTTCGCTCAACGAACTTCTTTGCAAGGTTATCTTTCTCACCGAAGTTGAGATCCTGTTTGACTACTTTTGTAGATTTTTTTTTTAGTATTTTATATTTCATAGGTTGTTTTATCTATATAGTTTTATATATAAAATGCCTTATAAGAAAATAATAATTCTGTGATTTTGGAACTAGCCCTACCCCACACGTTATGAATTCAGCAGTTTGTGATTCTTTGGCTCGATCTTGACTACTTGCGACCAACAAAGAAAACGCAGTGAAAATGGAGTATATCCATTTTCACATTCGCTGCTAACCCCTGAACCTCCAGTCCTTCAAGTGCCTTGAGCCTGCTGATCCCACTAGCAGGCCTACTGCCAAGGCCTACTGCCAAGGCCTTCTGGGTGGAAATCCTAAACCCCGCCACAGGACCCGTAATGCCGAAAAATAAATTATCAATACTTAATATTAATCACTACTCGCCATTTGCTGGCACTGCCTTTGCAGACGAATCAAACACAACAGGAAGAATCAGGTGTTTGGCACCGCTCACAGCATGATCAGACATGACTGCGGATCGCCATTATCCGAGGGTTATATTCACTTTATGAATGTATACAATTTCAAGTGGACAGGCCTGTTGTTGCATCGTTCCGGCGCGTGAGTCCAAAGGACCACAAGCCTTCACGGCAAATTTGGAGGATGTGTGCTTCGATGAATTTCGATGGGGACATATTTTTAAACAGACTTCAGTGCCAGCCCACAATCAATCATTAATGGTCATGGCAGCTCAGAGAAAAGTTGCGACTCCCAGATAGAGTGAACACGGCATAAACAGCAGTGCTTTGAACTGATCTATGCATGATATACGGATATGGATTTCTCGTCTGGTCTTCGACCGACCGTCCCATACTGTACCTACTTTTATTGGATTCAGCTGATTCATGGCTTGCACAGGACAATTCGAATAAAATACTACTTAAATCATAAAGCTAAGTCAACGAGGCTTGCATGCTTCCTTCATGCCAAGAATAGGCGCAGCCTGAGGTCTTTCCGAACAACAGAGAACTATCAGCATACTTTCACGTCACAAGCAAAAGTTCATGAGAGGAAAGCTCTGAATTCGTTATTGTATATTATATCAATTTCCAACTTCGTCATTCGCTACTACATCCACGTGAATATTAACTGCTATCGCCAGCTCATTTTATTCTACTGTCCATTTCGCTCTTGGTTTTCGGCTCCTTACCCCGATAGAGTTGCTGTAGATGTCTCCCGAAAGAATCAAGGTTTCTGCTCCAGTATTGTTAATATGTTTCTTCTGCGCTAATGTCGTAAATGTGACTATGCGAGTTTGAATGAGATTCGATCATCAGTATTCTAGTGTATACACTCGCCCTTCGTAAGTCAATAAAGTCTGAGATTTCATGAGTGAGCTCTCGTCCGTGGCTTGGGACTTCGATAGTCCTATCTATCCCAAGACCGCGAGCTCACCATCAGTTCATAATCACTTCAGCCCAGATCTCCAGGTACATATAGGTCATAACAGCTTCCCTTGCTATGAGATGATCTCTTCATTTCTTCGATATATATCGCCCTCTGATTGCCTCGTATAAGAAATTTGTTTTAAGCTGCGACTCCACTCAAGTCTCCGCTCTTACATTTCCATCTTCGATTCTTCTGCATATAGACTTGCGTAAAGATCAAATTCACAAATTCGTCATGCGATCCAGATAATATTGTGGAATGGTCAGCTCTGCAATCTTCTACATCTGACATTAGCTGCCTCCGAATGTGTGTTTCCATGCTCAGTCGTGACAAGATCTGTGATTTTGAAAACTGATTGGAAGATAATGGCAAACGAACCCTGTCTTTGCTGGTATGTGTTCAGGGACGAGTCGAAGTGTACCAACATTTCCATCGCCAGAAGACTCGGTAGTGCAGTGTCGTACTCTCCATGTCATATGTGGTGTCATCCACAGAAGGACGAATTTAGAGATTTCAGAGATTCTATAGGATTCCACCTTATGTTTTACACACAATGACGTCAACTGTGGCCCCAGTTCTCTTCATTCAATATCTCCTTTCCATTATGCTGACAACCACTCTAGCAGCGCCTATCACCATCACCAGGGAAACATTTAGAGCGTGCCGACCAGGGAATTGGGCCGGAATTCCATCTAATTGCTGCCCTCTCAAAGTCATTGAAGGACCTATTGTCGATTTCCGCCCGAAATACGATGCGTCTAAACCTTTGAGGGTCAGGAAGGCCTTACAATGTCTCAGCGGCCATGAGCTACAGACCTACTTGCAGAAGTTGGAGAAAGGATATGTTCTGATGCGGGCTCTTCCAGACAGTGATCTGCGCTCTTTCAAAAGGCAGAACGCGATCATTGTGCCTACGGGACGGGCTCCTTCCTCCAAGACGGCTACACCAACCTCACCATCGACGTTCACTTGAACTGGCTCTTCCTGCCCTGGCACCGCATGTTCGTGTACTTTCACGAAAAGATTTTGCAGAAGTTGCTCGGAGATCCCGAATTCAGTCTTCATTTCTGGAATTTCGACAACAGCGTCACAGCGACGCCAAGACATGGATCCCGTGGCTGCTATTTCAAGGCTGGTCATTTCGTGCCGCCGATGTACAACGATCCGTCGAAAGCAACATTTGAAGCTAATCGCTCAATCAGGGCCTTCGACCCCAACAGGGCCGTGGACTATGTGGACTATGTGTACAACTGGAACCCTCTTATGGTACCTCCTGCCTGGCCCAACAACACCGTGGAGGAACAAACGCGGATGAAACGAGAAGTCATGCACAGATCGATGATCACCCTCGCAAATACCACCAACTTCATCGGGAAGACTTACAGAGTCGGAGACGCGCAAATTCTGATCCCAGCGGTAGGAGCTGGTACGATCGAGTTGGTACCCCACAATACGCTGCACGCTTGGATCGGAGGATGGATGCTGCAGCCCATTACTGCGCCCATCGACCCTCTATTATACCCTTTCCATGCGAACATGGAGCGACTCTGGAGCGTCTGGCGCAAGCTGGGTTACGGCAATGACGATCCGACTGACCCAGACTGGCTCGATGCAACATTTCTCTTCTGGGATGAGAATGCAGTGATGAGGAGAGTCAAAGTGAGGGACTTTCTGGATTTGAATGCCCTCAGGTACAGGTACGAGAAGGTGAATGACGCGAGTTGGATCTTCTTCGACAACTCCACCAGCCCCAGTGCTCCTTAATGCGTAGGTAGAAGGCATTACGCGAATTCATGTTCTCGGAAGCGACGACGAACTGATTTATGATAATCAGTTCGTCGAGCTTACATGAACTCATAGCAATTTGATGATTTTGGATTGACTGGGAATAGTCATACATTGGATGGTCAGCAGGAGCAGGCGATTTTAGTGAATAATACCGGGCTCACTTGCCATAGATACCTTGCGATTCATTCACTGCCAACATTTGGAGCAATAAGACGGCCCCGATATTTCTGTTCAACCGATGAAGCTGAACGGGCTCTCGCAAGCCCGTTCACCTTCATCCAGCGAGTACTTACAGCTACTCCTGCGAATTCTTTTCTCATGCCGTAGAGTTCAATTCTACTCTACGCTTGACCTAGAACTCTTCTATTTACTCTTGCTTAGACGCACCGAGTTAGTTAGGTGCGAGCAAATAACAAGGGGTGCCGTTGCATAGGTAGTGAGACGGCCAAACTATCAATCTATTGTGAACAACATCCAAAGGCAGAGTCAGTTTAGTGCTATTGCCGTGGAATGCTGAAATGTAATTACATCCATACAAAGCTGCTTCCATGACACGTGAACAAGGAGCTTACATAAACCCCACGAACTTGAGAATCTCTTCTCCTCCAATTTTAATTGTCAGAAAGTTTGATATTATTTCCCCGTTTGTCTGTAGTAAGCTTTTCTTGTATGCATTGTAGCTGTTTTCACATTTTCTCAATAGCAAAGTGTTTCAAATGAACAGCCTGATCACTACCAACGGCTGGCAAACTGTCTCCACCGTTCGGCCTACGCTTCATGTCCGTGGACTCCGCCATATTCACAAGGCCCCGATTTCTCCGACAAAGAATCGGCTGAAGGAGAACATGCGAGCATCGAAGGCTCAAAGCGTCTCCTCTAGCTCCTTCTTCCGACATCAGACTCTAGCTCCAACGCGCAATGGCGATTAAAAAAGCAGTCCGCCTCTCTCGGCGAAGGAGGCGGAAGGCACCGCAGGGTTGTCATGGATAAGGATTACAGGATCCTTCGATTCCGAGGAATCGAAGGATATTTCCTAGGAATTATAAATTCCTCACAACACCATTCTCATTCCCTCCAAGGAAGCTCTTCTGGCACATCTATCGATGACGGAGAGGGAAGATCGCCTTTGCTGCGTCCAGCGTAGAACTATTCAAATTCATTATAAAAATTCTATCTTCAAAGACCTATGAACGCCAACAGCTTCACGAAAACTAACTCTTCTCCACCATGGGACACTTATGTCTGTTTGACCCATGAGTGAGCACAGCTGTGACATAGGCTATGTGGATTTAAAAATTAAAACAGTTAGGTAGGTACCCCATGATTCTGGTATAAAATAACAGAAATGTCATGTTTGCGACAAATTTTCATTGAGTTATCTGGAGGCAGATAAAAATTTCCTGCATGCATTTCAAAGGAATGAAGCATAATGGAATTGACCATCACATGCTATGGATGGTATATATGCAAATTAATGAAGAATCCTAGAGATAGCATACTTAGCCTTAAACCTACACATGACATATCATGTTTATAAATTAGATCATGATTAATGATGTGACTCGAAATCAGAGATGGCAGTTGAGATTTGCGAGTGTTTGAAAATCTTTAACGATAAATACCAATGACATAAGTATATATTAATATATATTAGTATATCTTTATACTATGTAATAATTATCAAACAAAAGCTTGATGAGACACAGTGCGAATGAAGGAACAATGATTTCTTCGCATCTCTTGCTGGTGCCACCAAATTTGCCACTGCTGGAAAGAACAAAGATTTACAGAAACACGTATCATCCGCTTACTTTATTTTTTATCTGTACAATTAGTGATCCAGCGAAATTAGAGAAACTCAGAGAATCATTTTTTCACATGCAGGTGAGATTATTTGTGCCCAAGTTATTTGATAAAATTTGAGACTAAGTCAACGTTGCATGTACAATAGACTTCTTCGAGAACCTTGAAGCACATGGCTGTAGAGTATTATCCTGGATTTCCCAAGTGAGCTGTCACTTTTTTCTCAAAGATTCTCCCAAATGCGATGAAAAAGTCCCTTTGTCCTTGATTTAGACCTAATTTTTAACTTATGCTACTACTGTGTTCTCACCATCAAACATTTTTGTCCTCGTACCATTTGTCGCCACCAGCATCCGTCGTCCGCTGACACTTGTCTTGGCATCAACGACGCAATCTATGAACAAAAGTGGGCTCCTTGCTCTCAAGCTCATCACCTTATGGAGCACTTCAGTCCTAGATGCATCTACTCTTAAAAAATACTTGTCATCGGGCCAGCTTCGATAAAAACCTTCAGCTGACTGGCAGGTCTTGGAACTTTATATTAAAGTTGAAGGTTGCACAGCTTAACCCAGGTGGTTTGCAAACAGATAACCATTACTATCTTGATAAGGTGATGGTTGATACAGACAGAAGACATGGTGCAAGGAGGAGAGGGTACAGGACTTTCAGAGGTCTCACATTGGATGGGTAACATCATGAAGCTTTTGGAACTGTTGTCATTGCTTTCTAAACTTGGATCAAAAAGTGGTTTCATGACTCGCCTCTTCGGATTTTCCTTCTTCCTCGACTCCATGACTCTTGGAACATGAGAGTTTTGCACAATTTTGAAATTCTTATTTGTCTGCAGTAGTCTTCCCACTAAGTACGCAGCTTGATCTTGGGAGGATTGTGCGTGCTTATCCTTATCCAGTAGGTGCGTACTTACGCGAATCAGAACCCTGAACTCATTTAAATTTACTAAAATTTCATACTGAAGTATATATATATATATATATTCATTCCGGTGAACGCATACTAAGCGAGGTTCTCTTTTCTTCAAATAGGACAAACCTACCAAAAATAACTAGTAAACTTATGAGAGGTTCATATAAAAGTTTTAGATCCTTTTCTCAATTTTAAGCGGTAACAATCCAACAACAATCCTTGCGGTTTGCCAATTTTACAACCAAACAACTTGAAGATTACACTCTACACAACATGCAAGTACTTTCCAAATGAAGTTTAACGACCAATCAGAATGGGCTGCCGAAACTCGATTCAAAGGTTGGAACAATTTACAAATTGCATGGAAGTTATGACAAATTAGCCTGGGATTATTCACAAAAATCGCCTGCTCCTACTAACCATCACCTGTGTGACTATTCCCAGTCTGATAGTCGACACAAGGCCATTGAATTTCAATGTGTTTATCCTCACTCTAGATTTTACTTATTCCTCGTCAGTTCGTCCGACGAACTGGAAGCGACGACGAACTTCGTCGTCGCTTCCAAGAATATGAACGCGGGTCGCGTTGCCTACCTATGCACTAAGGGGCACCTGGGCTCGTGGAATTGTCGAAGAAGATCCAACTGGCGTCATTCACCTCCTCATACCTGTACCCGAGGGCATTCAAATCCACAAAGTCCCTTGTCTTGACTCGCCTCAGCACTGCATTCTCATCCCAGAAGAGAAATGTTGCATCGAGCCAGTCTGGGTCAGTCGGATCGTCATTGCCGTAGCCCAGCTTGCGCCACACGCTCCAGAGTCGCTCCATGTTTGCATGGAAAGGGTAAAAGATGGGGTCGATGGGCGCAGTACCGGGCTGCATCATCCATCCTCCGATATAAGCGTGCAGCGTATTGTGGGGCAACATCTCGATCGTACCAGCTCCTGCAGCTGGGATCAGAATTTGCGCGTCGCCGACTCTGTAAGGCTTCCCGATGAAGCTGGTGGTATTTCCAAGGGTGATCATCGATCTGTGCATGATTTCTCTGTTCATCCGCGTTTGTTCCTCCACGGTGTTATTGGGGAAGGTGGGAGGGCCCAGTACAGGGCTCCACTGCGAAAGGTCGAACGCTAAGTCCACGGCCCTATTGGGCTCGAAGGCCATGAAAGAGCGATTAGCTTCAAATGTTGCTTTCGACGGATCGTTGTACATCGGCGGCACGAAATGACCAGCCTTGTAGCAACCATGGGATCCATGTCTTGGTTTCGCTGTGACGCTGTTGTCGAAATTCCAGAAATGGAGACTGAATTCGGGATCTCCGAGTAACTTCTGCAAAATCTTCTCGTGAAAGTACACGAACATGCGGTGCCAGGGCAGGAAGTGCCAATTCAAGTGAATGTCTATGGTGAGGTTGGTGGAGCCATCCTGGATGAAGGAGGCCGTCCCGTATGCACAATGAATCGCGTTCTGCCTTTTGAACGACCGCGGATCACTGTCTGGAAGAGCCCGCATAAGAGCGTATCCTCTCTCCAACTTCCTTGTATAGGTCTTCAGCTCATGGCCACTGAGACATTGTAATGCCTTCCTGACCCTCAAAGGTTTAGCAGCATCGTATTGCGGGCAGAAATCTACAATGGGTCCTTTTATGACCTTGGGAGGGCAGCAATCAGATGGAATTCCGACCCAATTCCCCGGACGGCACGTTCTAAACGTTTCCCGGGTGATATTGATGGGTGCTGCTAGAGTGGTTGTCAGCAGAATGGAAAGGAGACATTGAATGAAGAGAACTAGGGCTACAGTGGATGCCATGATGATTTAAACGTTCAGTGAAATGTTGTTGGATCTCTAAGATCTCAAGAATAGACCTCTGTGATTGAGAAAAGTATGAAATTTGACGTTTGACTCCTCCCTGAAGAGAACAACAGCGATGTCATGATTTGGGAGCAAATAGCCTTTCATCAAAATCGTTCATCACAGATCTTCTTACAACTGAACTCCCATGGGTGAACTGTCAGGTAGCTAATGTCAGATGCAAAAGATTGAAGTGGTAGTTCCACAATGATATCTGGATCGCAAGTTTGTGAGGTGAACAATAATGCAAGTCCTGATGAAGAACTAATGAAGAGGGAAATCTTAGTGCGGAGACGAGACTCCGGTTGCAGCTAGATACAAAATTTTCAGCTCATACAAACTAGATACATGACCAGCAATCAGAAGACGTTATACATCCAGCAATCAAACGTCCATA